TGCCTGGTAAAGAAATTCTTCCTCAAGGTGTTATGAGAGCTGATAGCAGAGAGCTCCCCTCATGCACTTGTGCCTCCCCTCCTCACTGGAGGGGCTGTGGAGGTCTCCTGAGCACTCACCACCTGTCAGCCCTCCAGGCAGCACGTGGGGGCTGATGTCCCAGAGGCAGACAGTGTGCTTTGGGGTCGATCTTGCAGGTCCACCAGTGACATCAATCCACAGCTGCTTGTGTTTTGTTCTGGGAAATATTTAGGGTTAAGATAGCTGAAGGTTTGTGCTGAAAGCCAACACCTTTTACCACCAAAGCAAGCTTCAGGGATTGGAGACATATTTAAATAATGCATATTTTATTACTGAAGCAGATGGGACTATGCCATTAGATGTGCCACTTCAAAGCCAGCTGTGCATCCTGCTCTCTCTCCTTCCTCCCCCTTTACCCCTCTTGCTCTGCCCCTACCACACATCCACCCAGTGTGGTGAGTTCTCAGCTTGTCACAGCTGCCTTGCAAACGAAAGACACTCACACAGCTATCAGGTCATTTCTCCATGTCATACCACAGTGCTTTAACCCCTCCCACCCCAAATTGTGCCAGATGAGCCACATACCATTGAGCTGCAGATCATCTGCCAAGTGGCTGCTGTTTAAAGGAGACCACAGGCATTCCCAGTTCTTACTTTAGAGGCTAAACCCACCAAGAGTTCACATTGCATGAGTCAGGTAAATGCCAAAAATGCTTTCTAGGATATCTGTAATGGGTTTCCTCCATGGCTGCTCACAGGATGTACTCCCTTGCCTACACTCTCTTACCGCCCTCGGATCACGGGTTCCCAGGAAGACACCAGGCAAAGCTCAGCCTTACCAGGGGTGGTTCTGGCCTCCAGTCCCTCCCTGCTTTGACTCCACTTTGCATATATGTTTTCACCCCATAAGCATTTTTTTTTACTTTATATGAGCCTTAGCAAATCCTTGCCCTATAGATACTCATCCCCTACAGCTATAGACACAGATAATGAAATAGACAGTGAGGAGTAGACACTATAATGCGAAACTAAATGTCCAATTAGAATTTGATGAGGAAGTGTGAAATAAAACACATTAAACAGAATTAGAAGGTAGTACCAAAAAATCAATTTCCCATTACATTCAGTGGTTACCTTTTTTTTTCTGACACCCAATGTTAAGAGCATCAATTACAAACATGATTTACTCCTTTACAGTCTGATTCAGAGTTCAAAGCAAAAACTTGCGCTACAGAATATGAATTAGCCCAGTGATCACAGGGGAAAAAACAGTGCCCTGCAGGTCTCTTCAGGCTGGCTTTGAAAAGTGCTCCACCAACGCAGGCTGAGGGAAATTACACTGTATGCTGTTAGGGAGAAGGGAGTGATTTTGGAGCAGCCTGTTAATTTACTCAAAGCAAGAGGTGATCTCAGCTGGTGCAGAAGGTATGTAGCTGGACTTGGGAAGAGCCATGGAAATGTTTCCAATGAAAAGTGAACATCTGACCTCAAAAGATTTGCCTTTGTGGATGTGCCCAGGAGATGCAAGGCTGGGACCACAAAATGCATCCCTCACTGAGCTTCTGTAAGAGGCTCCATATCATGGATCATAAAAGAGGAGGAAAAGCCACTTGTGGAAGACTTCAGGACAAGTAGGCACAAGCATGATTTCTCCTTTATTTCACCTTCTTAACAGGGTCTTAGTCTTATATGTGTACCTTGAAACTGTGATAGAACCATAGAATCATCAGGAGGAGACCTCTAGGGTCATCAGTTCCAACCATTAACCTGTCACTGCTGTAACCCCTAAACCCTAAACCATATTTTCCAGTGCTAGATCCAGATGCCTCTCAAACACTTCCAGGGATGGTGACTCTACCAATTCCCTGGGCAAACCTATTCCAATGCCTGATCATCCTAACAGTGAAAAAAATTTCCTAATATCTAATCTGAATCTCCCCTGTCTCATCTTATGGCCATGATGCACATAGAGTTATTTGAAGCTACCACACAGAGGCATTTCATTTGCAGGCAGTGGTGATCCTTGATCCATGACATTGAGCCATGCTTGCAGGGTCTGTAAGTCCATGAGGCTTCACTTCTACCTCCCACAGACAGTAAGATGCATCACTGGTGAGCTGCATGTGCAGTGGTAACAGCAACCTATGGGCCATAGACATGAAATCTCATCAGCAGTGCAAGGCAGGGGTAGATTTCTGGTAGTAGGTAGGATGATAAGGAGCATGCCTAAATCCTGAGATAGACAAAGAAAAGTGCAATACCTGGTGAGAAACAACCCTGCAAAGCCATCTCCCTGAACTGGCAGACACACATGCACAGAAAAAGCAGGGAAAGAAATCAGTTACCTCTTTCATCTTCCTTCATAACTCACAGTGTAAGTACATCTTAAGAAACAAAGGGAGAGGAGTGCTATGAAAAGATGAGCACTGCATCTAATACTTTGGGCAGAACCTCCTTTTGAAGATGCTGTGGCAGCTTCCTCATGTTTGTCTATGTTCTAAACCTTTTGCACGTTGTTCTGAGAGCCAAACATGAACCACATTGTTTTGTGTTGCAAAGCACAGACACCCATATACACTGAAAAGAAGATATATGGAGAGAGAATAATGGGTTCTTTAATGGTTATCGGCATCCCTCATCTTGAACCCAAGAGTTTAAAGTCAATTTCAGCTGTCTTGGATTGTCTCTTGCTTGTATAGAGCCTGTAAGGAAACTGTTAATTCAGAACCCCCCTAGCTGTGATCATTAATGGACCACATTTGGTGCTGAACCAAGCTCCAGTCTCTGGAGAGCACTGGAGCTCAGCCTTAGGGCACTGGGGTTTTGGGTGCTGCTCTGTATCCACATTCCTCTTTTTGTGACTGTCTTTTTCACCTGATGGAGGGGAGGGGAACTCGTAGCAGTTAATTTCTTAATTTCACCCTCATTTACCCTCTTCCCCCTTCTACAAATGCTGCAATATAATGTGGTTTCAGTAGAGCAATGCTTTGCAAATTTGGCTCAAGGAGACACTGAGCAAACAGCTTTGCAGAGAGCTTCAAGTCAGCTGTCAGAAGGGGCAGTTTGGTCTCTGTGCAAGCAATACTCACATTCCAAACTGCATTAGAGAGAAGCCGGTGGGGTTTTATGCATTTTTATTATCAGTTCCAGATTAGGAATCTGGTGCTATCTTTTTCTTAAAGTCTTTGTTTGCAGCAGAATTTATATTCTAAAACAAAACCAGGATTGTGATGTTTTTCTCTCGCTAGCTTGCTCTTTTTTTCCTCTTTTTTTTCCTCCTCTCCCTGGCTTTACTCCAAGGACCTTTTCTGCTTGTTCGTTGCACTCTCAAGATGCAGCACCGGATGGTTACAGCAGTGCTGGTAGCACTGGTGCAGGTTTCTCAGAGTTTCCCTGCCCTGTACCACCGAGGCTGGTGGAGGCTGTTAAGGGAAGGAGATAGCTGTGGAAAATGTGACCTGGCTCTGTGCTCTGAGCCCAAGGACTGTCCAGCCGGGACTGTGCTGGATCGCTGCGGCTGCTGCCCGGAGTGTGGCAATGTGGAAGGTCAGATCTGCGACCTGGACCAGGGCAATCATTTTTATGGGCAATGTGGGGATGACCTCGAGTGCAGGTTGGATGCTGATGAAGCAAGGTTTGGGGAAGTCCCCGAGCCCCAGTGTGTGTGCAAATCTCAAGAGAGCATCTGTGGATCTGAAGGGAAAACCTACGAGAACATCTGTCAATTCAACAAGGCTTATGCTGCGAAAAGAAATATCAGCATGAAACATAAAGGGCCATGTGAATCAGGTAACGTGTGCAGAGGCACTTCCAAACTGAAAACAGAGCTGATTCTTATTTTCAGATGTGTTACTAGCTGCTTAGTCTAACTTTATTAAACTAATACTGCCTTTTTGTTATAATTATCATTATTCTGTTATAATACTACTTTGTGCTAAACATGTGGTTCAGGAACTGGTGCTTAATCTTGTCTGTCATAAGCCTCTATATTAGACTAGTGAATTAAATCACATTGTGACTAATAAGCCATTGATATACAGACTGGCTCTGCTCTGAATGGTCAGAGTTTGAGGTATTTTCTGCAGAAGTTGTGTGTGTAGTTAGAAATAGGTAAACAGATAGGATAGGGTGGGAGAAATGGGCAAATGATTATTATTATTATAAAAGGACTGACCTAATTTTAAAGTGGTGATAGTAAGGCAGATATCATTCATAGTAAGGCAGATATCATTCAGATACATTCATACACTCGCATGTACATGTATATATGTGTGTATATAGATATATATGTATATATGCATGTCTGCATGCACCTCTGTAGGTATGGTAAGCAGTGAAGCAGGGGCAAGAGAAGAAGGTAGGGCTAAATTAACAGCTCTTTTCTTTTTACAATCAAAGATCCAAAATAATCCAATTTCAGAATCATCATAAAATCTAGCTAACCCATGAAACAGAAATCCAAATACTAGGACAAAATGTAGCTGAAAATTGTTTACAGTGCATGAATTGTCTGTGATGATTGTTAGTGGAAGGATCCTTAGCTGGGTTTATGGGGGAATCCTGTCTCCTGCTCATATGCTGTTCCCATTCTTTGCATTATTTCAAGTTGTTACTCCTGGGCACCTTTCACCTGAGACATGTGAATATAAAATGAACAGGTGAACAGGCTTTGGTTTCCTGAAGTAGGTAGAAGAGGTCTGTGGGTCACAAATAGGTCACAGCTCTGGGAATCCAAAATTGCAGCTCTGACAAAGGTCCATACATGGGAGTAACTTGGGTATGTTTTACCCACTGCTTGCTAGCAGCCTTAGACTGTGTGCTGTGCTTTTACGTTGAATGCACACTGGATATTGAATACTTAAAAGGAAAAGCAATGAATAGCTAATACCAGGCTTCTTTCCTCTTTCTCTATCTGCAAAGAAAGATCCATTAAAGAATCCCTTATTTGCCATCAGGGTATTTGCCAGCTGAGAAATGAGGCTCATCAGTAAAGAGACTTTCAGAAAACTCAAGGCACACCAGCCTGCAGCAGGACTAAGAGCCTGTTAGCCTCGGGTGGGTGTTCTTGGTTGGGATTAAATTAGCACTAGTTCTTGTGACATAACCCATCCAGAAAGATTTCAGCCAGAAATGCCACTCCATTAGCCAGTGCCAGGAACTTTGCAGCAGAGGCAGCTGCTCCGGCACACACGCTTGAAGTTTGGTTCCTATACTTAATTAAACAGAGCTGGCTGTGGACAAGAAACTTTGATTTGGAGGTGTACCCATATTAAATGCTGGTGTTGTCATCCTCCAGGCCTCCAGGTGCCCCTGAGGCACATCACACTGCTCCTCAAGCAGGAGGGGTGAGCTCAGCTGCTTAGCACGCGGGTGTCACCCCCAGTGCCTTCCCACTGCTTTCCTGGGTCCCCAGAAAGGCTGGACCCTCTCTTCAGGAATGCAGAGAACATCCTAGGACTGCTCAGCTTCCTGAACTGCACAGAAGCCTGGGGAAAGTTCATAGCCCCGACAGTGTTGGGCAGAGTTTAGCTGAGAAAACAGGGGCCCATGCCCTTGGCTGCAGCAGGCTGGGAGCCTGGGAGGGTGCTGGGCTGGCAGGGAGGGGGCACAGTGCCCATCTCCTCCACGTTCAAGCAGCAGGACACAGGTGCTGCCAGGAGGGCACTATGCCTCGGCCCCTGGAGGAGTCCACCAGTCCCCACCATCCCTGCCCACAGCTCTCCAGGCATGCCAAAGTGCACCCTGGTTCCCACTGGTTTCTCGTGGCTGCAGCGGATGATAAAAGGCAGCAGGGAGTCTGGCTCTAGGAGAAGCAAACTTGCTGCAGCAGTGGCTTTTGCTGACTCCAATTTGCATGAGGAACAAACACTGAGCACTGTGGGGTTTCGGTACCAAACTATAAATATAACCTTCACTCCCCTCAAAGTACTTTGTTCTGTTATTTCTCCTTCAAAGCATCTGCTGTTTCCTATTGATGCCAAATGGATTAATTGTATACAGCAACCAATGAATAAATAAATAACAATAAACTCCTTTCATCAGAAGAGTACAGCCTTTCATCTTTCCTCTACCATCAGAAAAAGGAGAAAAAGGCCTATCCCCCTAAAGAAACAGTGGGAAAGCCTTTCTTTTCCTGAAAGCTACTTTCGATCAGTTTATCCAATAATTTACCAAGGTTACTAAGTACATAGATTATATACAGATTCTCCACACTTAACCCATCCCCATTTACATTCAAACCTCTCTCACTGACAATTTAACACACTAACAGAACAATCCTCTTTTTGTTCAGCTGTGTCACATGGTTCACTTTAAATGCAAATTTTGGAGTAAAACCAAGTAAACAAGCCACGAAATTTTCCGTCATTTTCATCAAACCACACACAGATTAGCAAAAATTAATAATATACAATATGAGAAAAAAATTCCTATGAATGATGTAATTCATTAGTCTGGAGTGCTACTGGGTTGATTGTGAAAGGTGAAGCAGTGTTTTTGACTATTCTTGGCTTCTGATTTATGTCTTCTGTAACACGTGGATAATTCATGACTGGGACTGTAAAAGGAAAGGAGCAACTCCTGCCCTCCTGGACACCAAGACATCAGAACCCTTTCTATAGCTATCGACAAATCTACCATCTATGAATCTCCTATCTATGTATCTATGTGCATACTCCAGGAAGCAAAGTGACAGGTTATCATAACAGTAAAGCTCTGTTTCTAATCGGTTCTGCAAAGTCCCCACAGATATGCACAGAGGAATTTGTCAGAACGCAGAACCTGAAACACTCAAAAGTGTTCATAAATTTCTCTTAAAGTGCTGCATCGTTACTTCAATTTTCTTCCACAAAATACAGCCAAACGGAGTTGTGAGACATGTATTGTTGTATTTCTGAAGGCACTTTATGTTCAAGTGGGTAATGCAAGTATTTGTTGTGTGCTCAGGTTCAGAAAAGGCAATTTGGTTAGATCAGAACTACTGTGTGCTCTGAGTTTGAGCTCACATGACGCAGTCCTGGTCAGCCCTAGCTCAGACCTGGGCCTCACATCATCTCAGGCACTCCCAAGCTCTCTGCTGTGCTTTCCTCGCAGAGGATGCAGCAGAGGGATTTCAGTGCTGAATTCACCTCGGTGTACGGTGGGCAGTGCTGGACAGCCACAGTGCAGCTCTGTAATTCAGACCCGTGTGTGCTCCAGGCTGTGGCTGTGCTCCCCTGGGCTGAGGGCAGTCACACACGACCCCTCTGAGTGCTGCCAGGGGATCCACAGGGCACCTGAGACAGCACAGGACAAAAATACTCACCAGGCAACATCTGCCTCTTTACAAAGTTTTTTACACTGTCTCTGTGCAGGAACCATTTAAAGAATTCCTGTGAGTCAACAGAGACATTTGGGGGGGGAGGTTACATTTTAAGCTTAACTACAGTGGATCCATCATTAAATGGAGTGTGGATGCACTGAGCTTTAAGATTTCAAGGTGTGTTTTAATATCAGACCCTCTGTGATCAGTTCATAGACAAAAAAACATTTGCATCCAAGATATTCAGTCAATGCTGATTTGAATACAAGATTTTTGAAATAACAGAGATTCTGGATGTACAGATCTCACAAAAGAACAAGCATTTAAGGGTTCATGCATCCTACTTTGAAAAAGCTTACTTCTGAAGAGTAGCAGGATTGTTTAATGAGGCATTTATAAACGAGGCCATAGATAGATCTTTTGCAATTAATTTCAATCAGTATGCATTGGATATTTTCCGCACAGACTTACCAATCCTGAAAAACTAACAAATGTGTCAGAAATTATTGCTTGAAAACATGGAACAGGTTGTTATAATTTCAAGTGCTGAAGCATAAGTGCTGTACCTATGTATGAATTCAAATATTGCAAGCAAAAATATATTAATTATTTACTGTAAGTTTCTAATTCCGAGCATCCGTGCAAAAATAAAGAAAATAATTAAATACAAGCCCAATGGCCCAGAAAATGCATTCCTTTTTAAGCACTGGTCTGGAAATAGATAGAAAACAGATTTTCAGAAGGAAAAACATTTCTTGTTGAGGACAAATAGATCAGGAATAAAACCCCAGAGATCTCCAAAACAGGAAATCTGTGATAACAGTAAATAAGCTATTTTGCTCTCTGAGCTAAACATCATCATCGCCTGTTAACACTTAGTATGTTCATACATGCTCACGGTGGGATATGTCCTGAAATGATCAAGGAGGCATCGAGGGATGCTTCATTTTCCCACTGCCTCCAAGCCCAGGGCTGGCTCCATCTCGTGGTTACTGGCAGCTTGTGCTGCGGGAACAGAGCAAAGAATTCCGAGGCAGTTAATAAACATTGCAGGGGGATGAGGGTAGAGAGCAATAGGAAACAAGTACGTGGAAGTGTAGTAGTTATCAGAAACATAACACAAAACCTTATGCAAATAACTGAATTTCAATTCTGTTCATTCCTTATCTCATAACAAGAACACAGGATGAAACTGATAACAACTGAAGATGTGTGAAATGCATTAATGCTGTTATTCCCATGACTTGTGGCAGGGAGTTCCATGGGTAGCAGAGTGAGATGAGGCTTTAGCAAGTTCAGTCCATGGCGACAGCTCATGGGGCAAACTAAACTCTTAATTTCACCTCAACTTTCATGACCATGCTCAAGCAGAAGGACAGATGGGTCCTATGAATAAGAGTTTTTAAAAAGCACAGCCACAAGGTGTTCTGAGCTTTAAAAGCTGCTTGGAATCACATGGATCATCACAATGTGTGAGTGGCAAAAGGTAAATGGACATGAAGCAGGAATTAGCGTTACGTGATTTTGTGGTTGTGTTCCCTTGCACACTGTCTTCTAAAGCCCTGCTCTCGGTTCTTTGCAGCTCCTGTTATTTCTATGCCACCTCAGGATGCCCAGAATTACACTGGAAATGATGTCATTTTTGGCTGTGAGGTGTCAGCCTATCCTATGCCACACCTTGAATGGAAAAAAAAGGGGAATAAAATGTTTCTGCCTGGAGATGACACCCACGTCTCAGTTCAGGTAAAACCTGACCTTTCCATGGCATGGGGTTCAGGATGAGGAGCAGGGGGGTTAAGCTGGGAACTCCACCCACAAAACACAGTAGTGTTGCAACAAATAGGTTCCCAGCTCTGGGATGATCCTACTTGAGCAGGGAGGATGGACCAGATGACCCACTGTGGTCCCTTCCAGACTAACTGGTTCTGTGAGTCTGTGTAATAGGAGCCCTCTGACCACACAAAGAACGATGATTTCAGTCAGTGCAAGCATCATTGCTTTGGCAGTCCCAGCAGAAGGAACAACAGCCAAGGTACCATCTGGCCTGCTTCAGGGACAGAAAAGATGGAAGAGCCTCTTTATGTAGGTTTGATTCTGAAAAAACTGAGCAAACATATAAATGGAACAATTTAGGCTAGTGCTTGGAAGAAGGAGCATTCTGGGAAGGATGGCTCTTGCCAGCACTTTTTCTACTCTTGATGCAGAAGGTTGCAATGATATTAATTCACCCATGATTATTTTGAGATATATCCTAGTGTCTCCTAGCTACTTCATCTCAACCATTTCTTTCCTTCTCCAAGGCAAGAGGAGGGCCCCAGAAGTATGGTGTGACAGGCTGGCTGCAGATTCAAGGCCTCAAAAAATCAGACGAAGGCATTTATATCTGCCACACCAAAAACAAGCATGGTGCAACATATGCCTCTGCAAGACTGAAAGTCATTGATGGTAATTGTTTTCTTTATTTGGATGTAAAAGACACAAAAATACAGACAAGCAGGCTGCAAAGGATGGCATTGTCAGAATGCAAAACAAGGATAGGTGCAATCACCCAAAGCTGCCTCTATTTTAACTTTTCTGTGTGCTTTTACTTTATCCCCTAGCAGGTTAATATTGTAATATTTTGCTGCAAATTATACCAGCTTCCAGAAAAGAGAAACCTGTGGATTAAAGCCATACAGCTGAGACACATGTTATTCCACTATCCTACATAAGTCCTTTGATGTTAGTAGGACCCAGAGCAACAGCTGGTGCAGCTGGGGGAATCTTTGAACCATGGCAGGTTTGCTTAGCTATTTGTTTTTCAAGAAATTTGGAAGGAAATAGTTGTTATTCCTTAATGAGAGAGTTTGGAAAGATGTAAGAAATAACTTTGCTGTTGTTTTGCATTGGGCCCAGACCTGCAGAATAACATCCTTCTTCCTCCAGGGAGAACTGGCTTTCCTGGCAAATCCAGGATACAGATTCATTGTCTTATATTTGCCTTCTGGTCTAGAGGAGTTTGTCACTGGTCTAGTTTCTGCAAGTGACTTCCAAAGCTTTATTGGCTCTTGTAATACTTGCAGGTGCAGAGGACCTCATTCTTTACTATATTGGGAATTAAATGTATTTTCAACATGTCCTGAGGACAGGAAAGACATGGACCTGTTAGAAGGGGTCCAGAGGAGGCCATGAAGATGCTCCGAGGGAGGAGCACCTCTGCTATGGAGACAGGCTGGGAGAGTTGGGGGTGTGCAGTCTGGAGAAGAGAAGGCAAGGCTCTAACTTGGGAGCCCCTGCCAGTGCCTCAAGGGGGCTTATGAAAAGGATGGAGAGGGACCTTTTATACAGGCAGATAGTGACAGGACAAGGGGGAATGGTTTTAAACTAAAATAGGATAGATTTCAATTAGAGCAACCTGGGCTAGTGGAAGGTTTCCCTGCCCATGTCAGGGGATGGAATGAGATGATCTTTAATGTCCCTTCCAACTCAAACCAGTCTGGGATTCCATGATTCTGTACAGAAATTTGCTCATGTATCATGAGCTACAGTGGTACGAGGTCAAGTCATTGTACGAAATCCTTTTCATAAATAACTAGGATTCAGAAACACTGACCTTGCTGTACAAATCCAAACCCATACTTTCCTCTTTGTCCCTGTCTTCAACTAATTTAACCTGTGTTAAATTACTTCTTGCAGGTCCATCTCCTGCCTTTGCATTTACTACTGGCAGTAGGAGTGCAAGCTACAGCGTTGAGTATGGGGAATATTACGACAATTCTGATGAGGAAGATGATGAAGACTATGAATCCGGGGACTATGATAATGAAAACAACCCTGAATAACAGCTTTTATACATCTGTTGGCCAATACCTTTCACAGTTATATTTACTAGTAGTCTCTGTACTGTAAATGGCTCTTCTGATAACACACATATTTACTTGTGCATCCATCCACCTTCCTGATACTCAGCTCTGGCTGAAGTGTATCATTGCTACTCACCAGAAATAAGGACAGTTGTAACAGCATACATTTAGACTTAAATAAAATTCTTCAACATGCACCCTGCTACTAAATATATCAAGAGGCCAAATTTTATATTAATTTTTAAAGCCTGCATTATGTTATAAATTCTTTCATGCATTCTAATTTGTCTAGTGAAAATGTCCATAGTTAAACAAAATTTTTACCTTGTATCAATTTCTTTTTTTCTATAATGCACTAAGGAATATCAAGAGATTGTTCACATGGCAACAAGCCTAAGTAGCAAGGTTGCAAAACAGTCTATAATCTCCTTAGTTCATGTTTTCTCATAAGTTTCAGCAAGATTTTCCTTCTCATTTGCAATTTTCTACAGTTAGCCTCATAAAGGGCAAATTATCTTTCTTTTAGGGGTTATTTGGTTTACTTTTAATAGATACATGAAACAATTCCAGTCTAAAGCAAAGTGCTGTTTTACTGGCAAAACTCAAACATTCCCAGAAAAGATTTCTTGTGCATTCAAACAGCTGAAGACAGCTCCTACACTTCCCCTACCAGCACTGGCTCCTTCCCACCAGCCTAGGGAGCAGCTCAGGGTTTGGAATCATTCCTTTCCCTCCCAACAGAGTGGTGTTTGCTGGGCATTTCTGCAGTTCAAAGGTGGCAGCAGCTCTGTAGCTCAGTGTGTGCCCTCCAAAGACACAGATCTACACTGCCCTGGGCTATGCATGAGTTGCTCCTGTCACTGACCCCTCTGTGCTGTGTCCAACTGGGAATGGCAGCAGCAAAGCACTGTTTTCTTTCCAAAACCCACGGGAACACATGCACAGTGTTCAAACTGATCAGCATGAACCAGGCAGCAAAGGCAATGGATTAAAACCCACAACACTTCCAAGTGCAGAGTGAGACCCTGAGAATGTCTCTCGTTGTTTTGGTTAACTCACTACATGAAGTCTGGCTCTGAATTCATGGCTGGGGGAAGACACCATCTATGAAACCCACTTTTGGGGGCAGTTACACCTCTGGTTCCCATTGCCTGAGGACAGGTGAACAGCAGTAAATTACTGAAGGACATTTAGGACTAAGGAAGCAGAAGTTCAGCTTGGAAAGCCTTGGTATCTAGTTGTCTTCATCCAAGGCACAAACTCATGTAGTGACTACATCACGCACCAAGGTAATGATGACTTAAACTCATGATGACAAGGAAGCTTTAAGGGCAATCTTACTGTATGCATACACACACTGTGTAGAAGTTTTAATGTATACACAGTGCATCACAAATTCCTCCTTTAATGTGCTATTTGTGCCCTTTTTTTTTTGCTATTAGGCAGATTTTTCCTTTCAATTTGAACAACATTAAGAAATTGGCTCTAGACTGTGCTTGCCCTGAGGTATGACTGACCTTTGTCCAGGTAGCAAACAAGCAAAGAATAATTTATTTGGTTTCAGACTTCACATCAACATATGAGAAGAAAGCATGTCATCATGTCATTGAAAAAGATTAATTAGTTTTAATTAAGAGTATGAAGCGGTTTCATATTTAACTACTGACTTTGTTTTTATGGACACTTCCTGATCCTCTTCGTGTTATGCCTGATAACTTTTTTTTGCTTATCCACTATATATTAACTTGAACACAAAATTACCTGGTAGAAATCATGGATTATTTTTTTAGCTGGTTATTTCTTATGGATCTATGTAATATACAGACATACATCCAAGATTAGTTGTGATCTGCATTGCAAATTAATGAATTCAATTACTAAAGCAATCACTAAATGGTGGCAATATATATTGGCATAGACCAGCACATGGCGCAGAAAATAATCTTGAAATCATTAGCCATAGAAAGCAATTAGAATTCTTCAGGGCCTTTTGCTGTTGCTAATATAAAATGAAAAACAGAAAGAAAAGAATGTCTGAATGAGACAATGTGCAGCAGAAGCACAGCAAACACCAGTGTGTGAGTGTTTGGCCTGATGGACTACCTGTTTGAGGAAAGCTAATCTTCCCAGAGCAAAAGCTTCTAAATTAAACATGCTGCATTTCTCTCCGTATGTATTTCCTTATATATTTACTAAGTTGCTGTGAATTATCAGCTGTTCCTTTCAGTAAGAAAACGTCATTTTAGGAAAAATCACAATGCGATGCAAAAAAAAAGGAGGAACACTGGTACCCTGAACAATTTCTGGCTCTTTTCTGGGGAGAGGGGACAGAAACGGCTGGGTCTGATTATATGCTTTAATCAAGTCATTTAACATTAAATTTAAAGCAGCAAGGAGAAGGTTCAGGCCTCTCTGTGGCAAATGAATGGCTCTAATCGTGAATGCACTGACTGTAGCAACAGATCTATTCACACAACCCAAAATAACAGCAAGGACAAGCACTGGGGTTTATTCCACCAGCAGGAACTGAGACAGACTTGAGCTGGAAACTGTGTATTAGTTATACCTAATCCCTCCTTTAACTCAGCTTCCACTGAACACTGCAAGAATTTTGTTATCTCCCATGGAAGCAAGTGTGAATTTCATGGCACAGCTTCCTCCTGTCACACAAGCATCATCACTGTGTCATTTCCCCCTCCCATGTAAAGGTAAAGGAATTGTGTAAAGGTTCCTAAATTTTCATAGAAATTATGCAGCTTTACCCAGCTTTGTCCTTTGGGCTAGTGGCTTCTTGGGGGTCTCTGGTGGTCCCTTGTGGTTGTTGAAACGATATCCATTAGTGTCCTTTCCATGAACTTTGAGTCTTCCTTCCATATCTGGTCTTGGCTTAGCTCATTATCTTGTTTGCAATTATAAAGTTCCTTATCTTGGTCTTGGTTGACTTCTGCTGGCTCCTCTGCACTGCTCACAGGTGCTGTGATATGACCTTGGGTATATTCTTGCCCCTTACAATTCCCTCTTTGAGACTTAGTTAGTCTTAGATAAATTCTTTTAGCTACCTGGCTAATTCTGCACCAAGTAACGCTTCTCTTCTAATTTTGTCACATAATGAAGAACTCTGAATATTCTGAAGGATAAATTAACATAACTACTTGAGGGGGCAAATGCTACAAAGCTGTAAACAATGTCAACTGAGGCACGTTTGCTTTCCTTTCTATGCATTCCAGGAACGTCTAACGCAGTTAATTCCTGCAAAGCCACAGGAGTTAACATGTGATTCCAAAGGGTTAGCCTAGAAACAGGGAGCTGTGCCCTTAGATCCCCTGCTATCAGTCTGGGAGCAAATTCTTTGGAAACTGCATTAATCTGCACCGTGCAAAGCCAAATATAGGTGTACAGTAGCACCTGCAGTAACGAGTGGGAGCAATGGGGAGAACTGAAAGAGGGAAATTTAGGTGAGATATTAGGAAAAGGCTTTTTCCTGTGAGGGTGGTGAGACACTGTCCCAGGTTGCCCAGGGAGGCTGTGGCTGCCCCAACCCTGGCAGTGTTCACAGCCAGGTTGGCTGAGCCTTGAGCAACCTGCTCTGGTGGGAGGTGTCCCTGCCCAGGGCAGGGGTTGGGGCTGGGTGAGCTCTCAGTTCCATTCCAAGCCCTAAATGGTCTGTGACACTTCAGGGCAGTAACTACTGCATTCCGGGCAGACCAGGACAGGACAGAGCAGGGCAGAGCAGAGCAGGACAGAGCAGGACAGGCTCTGGGTTCGGCGGGACAGGCTCTGGGCTCGGCAGAACAGGGCAGAGCAGCACAGGCTCTGGGTTCGGCGGGACAGGC